TGCCCAAAGCTAGATATTACATTCTTAAGACTTTTTTGGAATGGAGATTAAAGAATCACTGACTTATAGTTTAAAAGGGAATCTCTTGTTGCCAGGGCAATTTTAGCTTTTCCTTAGAATTGAAAATGCTTTAAAAAAGCAATGATTCAAGCATTTAGCTTTTGTGTGGCCTTTTTTTTTTTCTTTTTTTTTTTTAAATGTAAGATATCTGGTCTTCTCTTCCTAGGTATTAAGTAGGATTAAAGAAGTCTTGAAAAGTCTGTGGTCGGTAGTTCTCAAATTTAGGCTTAACTCAAGATAGCATGATGAAAATACTAAATTTTCTGCTTTTTCCTGCAGGCTTATTGGAGGAGATACTCTGCTAGGAAAAGATTTTTACAGCTAAGGCACTATGTTATCTTTGTACAAGCAAGGATAAGGATGGTGAAGGCTGTTGCTGCATATAAACGAATTGTTTGGGCTGCTGTTACAATTCAGAGTCATCTGCGTGCATCTAAGTTGGCAAAAAAAGATCGGCAAAGATATGAAATCTTAAAATCTTCAGTGCTTACTATTCAGTCTGCATTCAGGAGATGGAGAAAATACAAAATTCAACAGAAAACTAAAGCTACTTTAGTTCTTCAGACTTATTTCCAAAAATGGCAATCTTCAAAACTGGCTAAAAGAAACAGGGCTGCCCTTGTCGTACAGTCTTGGTATAGGATGCACAGAGATCTGAAGCGGTATCTACATATTAAGCAAAGTGTTATCAAGATTCAGGCTTGGTACAGGTGTCAGCTGGCTAGACATATTTACCAGGAACACAGGGCAAAAATAGTGACAATTCAGCAGTATTACAGAGCTTATAAAAAAGGAAAAGTTGAAAGAGAGTACTACTTGCAAAAGCGTGCAGCAGCGATAGTCCTCCAAGCTGCTTTTAGAGGAATGAAAGCACGTAAACTATACAGACAAACAAAAGCAATTTGTGTTATTCAATCACTGTGGAGAATGAAAAAAGAGAAACTAAGGTTTCTACGCTTAAAAAAGTCTGTTACTACATTGCAGTCACATGTGAGAAAATACCAACAAGTGAAAAGATACAAAGCGATTAAAAATGCTGCTTCTGTAATTCAAACTTGGTATAGGGCACATGTCACTTCTAAAAAAGCAGCCGCTTCTTTCCAGAGGATGCGTCTGGCTGCTATTGTCCTACAGTCTGCCTACAGAGGAATGGAAGCTAGGAAAGAGGCTCACAAATTGAGATCTGTGATAAAAATTCAGTCAAGCTACCGTGCTTATATTGTCCGGAAGAGATTTAAAAACTTGAAAGATGCGACAGTGAAGATGCAAGCTCTTGTAAAGATGAGGCAAGCCCATAAGCGTTATTGTGCACTAAGGGAGGCAACGCTTTATGTCCAGCGAAGGTATCGGTCTCATAGATACACTCTTCAACTGAAAGAAGGTTATAGGAGATTGAAGGCAGCTTGCATAAGAATTCAAGCTGTAGTTCGAGGCTATCTTGTCAGGAAACAAGTACAAAGGTGGAGGGAGACTGCAGTATTTCTCCAGGCGTGCTACAGAATGAGAAGGGACAGGCAACGTTATTTAAACATCTGTAGTGCTGCTGTTGTCATTCAAAACCATTATCGTGCATACAAAAAGCAACTGTGTCACAGGCACAAGTTCTTACAAGTTAAAAAAGCAGCTGTGTGCTTACAGGCAGCCTACAGGGGTTGTAAAGCACGCAAAAGCCTTAGACTTGAATATAGAGCTGCTATTAAAATTCAGACTGCTTTTAGAGCTCATGCTGCAAGAATGAAATATAAGGCAATGGTTCAGGCCTCCATTGTGATTCAGAGGTGGTACCGAACTTGTAAGACTGGTAACAGGCAAAGACTGAACTTCTTAATGACAAGAGCAGCAGTGCTTTCTTTACAAGCAGCTTTTCGTGGCTGGAAGGTTCGAAAGCAGATTCGAAGACAATGTGTTGCTGCTACTAAGATACAGTCTGTCTTCAGAAAATTCATGGCTCTGAAAAAATTCAAACTTATGAACCATTCTGTGCTAACTATCCAGAAGCATTACAGAGCCAGTGTTATAGGCCAGAAACAACGGCAAGAATATGTTCAGCTGCGTAACTCTGTAGTGCGTCTTCAGGCAATATGGAGGGGGAAAACTGTGAGAAAAACAATTCAAAAGAAACATAATCTTGCAACAATTATTCAGTCCTATTACAGAATGCACGTAAATCAACTAAAATATAAGAAACTAAGACAAGCCACTTTAGTGATTCAGAAGTACTTCAGAGCTTACTGTATGAAAAAAACCCAACGGGCAGTTTACCTAAAAACAAAGGGAGCTGTGTTAGTCTTGCAGTCTGCTTACCGTGGGATGATTGTGAGGAAACAATTGAACAAACTAAACAAAGCTGCTACAACTATACAAGCTGCGTTCAAATCTTACCTGGTCAAAAAGGACTTTGAAAGACTTAGATCTGCAGCTGTAGTAGTTCAAAGGCGTTATCGTGCAATTTTTCATGCTAAATGTCAAAAGCAGAAATATTTGTTACTAAAAGAAGCCACAGTCAAAATGCAGGCAATTTACAGAGGTGTAAGAGTAAGACAACAAATTGTCTGTATGCATCAAGCAGCTATTTGTATCCAAGCCACGTTTAAGATGCATCGCATGAGCATAAAATATCAGGCAATGAGAATGGCAGCAATTATAATTCAAAGACAATATAGAGCATTTTGTTTAGGCAAAGTACAACGTGAAAAGTACTTGGAGCTAAAGAAGTCTATCATTATCCTTCAGGCTGCTTGCAGAGGCATGAAGGTCCGACGATATGTAAAAACTATGCATCAGTCGGCAGCAATAATACAGTCTTATTATCGGATGCACAACCAACAGAGGGATTACAGAAAACTGTTGCTGGCAATCAGGCGGATTCAGCGGTGGTTCCGTGCTTGTAAGGAGCGAGATACACAAGTTCACAACTATATGGTTATGAAAACTGCTGTGCTTCGTATCCAGGCTGCATTCCGTGGTATGAAAGCAAGAAGACTTCTAAGAACTATGAGTGAATCAGCTGAGCTTATTCAAAGAAGATTTAGAACTTTTCTTAAAAGAAAACATTTTCTTTCCATTAAAACAGCTGCTATTGTAATTCAGAGGAAATACAGAGCGACAAAACTAGCAAAAATTCAACGACAAAAATATCTCTCTTTCCTTAATGCTGCTGTTATCATACAGTCTGCTTATAGAGGCTTTGTGGTAAGGAAAAGAATGCAGCAGATGCATCAAGCTGCTACGGTTATTCAAGCAACATTAAGAATGCGTAAAACTTACATTTCTTATCAAGCTGTCAGGCTTGCTTCAATAATCATACAGCAACGGTATCGTGCTTACAGGGAAGGGAAGTGTGTGAGAGAAATATACTTAAAACTGTACAATGCTGTTATAGTTCTTCAGGCTGCCTGGAGAGGAATGAAAACAAGATCCTTCCTGAAGAAAAGACATGAGGCAGCTCTTATGATACAGAGAAACTACCGAATGTATAGGGAGTACCGCCATTACAGAAAAGTTCTGTGGGCAACCCAGCTAATACAGAGGAGATACAGAGCCAATAACCTGAAGAAAATTGCAGTACAGCATTATGTTTCATTAAAGAAAGCGGCAACCCGTATTCAGAAGGCTTTTCGAGTCATGCAGGCAAGAAAACACCACCAAGAAACGCACTGTGCTGCTATTGTTGTTCAGAAAAATTTTAAAGCTTTTAGAGAACGTCAAAGATACCTCTCTCTTAAGGCAGCTGCTCTTGTCTTTCAGAGAAGATACAGAGCTTTGATTCTGTCAAGACAGCATGCTTTGGAGTACCTTTCTCTTCGCAGAGCAACTATTCATATACAGGCTGTGTACAGAGGTATCAGAGTGCGGAAGAGTATTGAGCATATGCATTTAGCTGCTAGTACAATACAGTCAGCCTACAAAATGTACAGGAATAGGAGGTCCTATCAAAATAAGAGAACTGCAGCTATTATTATACAGAACTACTATCGATCCCACATTAAAGGAAAGAATCAACGAAAGAAATATCTGACGATGAAGAATTCTGCTCTTGTTATTCAAGCATCATATAGAGGCATGAGGGAACGACAGAAACTGAAAATCATGCATGCTTCAGCAATTGTAATACAGTCTAGTTATCGCATGTACGTACAACATAGATATTACACACAGTTGTGCTGGGCTGTCAGAGTAATACAGCAAAGGTTCAGAGCCAAAATGGCAAAAGACACTGACATGGAAAATTATGCAAAAATAAAAAAGGCTGTCATTTGCCTTCAATCCGCTTTCCGTGCTAAAAAAGCTAGGCACTTGTACAAAACCAATGTTGCTGCCCAGTGTATACAATCATTCTTACAAATGCGTGTAGAGAGGAGGCGTTTTCTTGAAAAGAAAGCAGCAGCAATAACGATCCAGTCTATGTTCCGATGCCAAAGAACGAGGACTCGCTATAAATTGATTCAGAGTTCAGCAGTTGCTATTCAGAGGTGGTACAGAGCGTGTCACAGGGCTCGTTTACAGAAAGCAGAGTATTCTGCTCAGAGACAAGCAGTAGTAATTATTCAGTCTGCCTTCCGTGGTATGAAAGCAAGAAAAACAGCAAGACAAATACGAGCTGCAAGAAAGATTCAGTCTTTTCTTCAGATGGCTGTGCAGCGTAGAAAATTTATTCAATTTAGAAGAGCAGCTATTACGTTACGAGCCTATTACTTAATGCATAAAACTAAATCACAGTATACAAGCTATAAAAAAGCAGCACTTGTCTTACAACGATACTACCGATCCCACTTGACTGTGAAATACCAGAGAACAACTTACTTGCAGACCCGGAGGAACATTATCATTGTGCAGGCTAGAGTGAGAGGATTCATTGAAAAGAGGAGGTTTCACAAAATTAAAGCAAGCACAATAAAAATTCAGGTACTTTTGATGTAAAGTAGTGGGTTTTGGGGTGTGGGGTTTGGTTACTTTTTTTCTTTTGTGGGCTTTTTAAGATTATTGCTGTTGCAAACAACAGTTTAAAGCTACTTGTTAAAGTAGTATCAATTTCTGAAGTATACTACATGGCAGGTATATAAAGCTTACTACCACAGTGCACAGAAATGAGTCTTGGTTCAGGTCTGTTTTGTCTTTCCTTGCTGAGGTACTCAAAAAGTAACATTCCCTTTTTCTTGTTTTTTCCCTAGAATTTTACTACTTCAAATGAGTTTTGATACTTATATGTGTTTCTGTGGTTCTTTTAGAAATATTTTTGTCCTAACTGGCTTTCACTTGTATAAATACTTGTATGTAAATATTTACTCCACGTAGCAAGCTAAATATCTATCTAGTTTGAGTTCCAAGAGGCTCAGAAGACTAGTTACTCTGAAGTGCTTTTTCAATATTTTTTTTTTTTTTGAGGGTGAAGGAGATAAGTATATTTCCTTCTTTATATTAATTATGATTTGTATGTAGTGGGAGTACACTTTTCTCTTTCTTTTTCTTCTGGGAGAAGCTTTAAGTGACTTCCTGTGGTGGCCTTAGTTATTTTACCCTAAGGGAAGGGGGTTCTCTTCAGGATGTTATTGGAATAAAAGGATTTTTTTCCCCCCAAATCAGGGAAGAAAGGGAAATAAATAATCTCTCATAAGAATTTCTTAGGTTGCTATTACTATCTTGTTGGAGAGCCCGTGCTGTACTTAACATGTAAGAAAACAGGTGTGCCTTCCTCACCTCCATGTATTGTAGGGGGAAGTGGCAGCTTCTTAGTTATTTTCTGAATCTTTAATTTATATATCCTGAACAATGTAAGCATGATAACTTTGCTTAAAAGGTAGAAAAAAAGAATTAATTGGGAAATCAGAAATATATTTACTTATATTGTTGTTTTTCTTTTAAGCCAGTGAGTATAACTGTACTTAGAAATATGCAAATGTCTTCCCAGTCAATACCATGCAAGTGGTGAAATATTCTGTGATTATATCTTTTAAGGCATTTTTCCGTGGATTTAGTCAGAGACAGAAATACCTTCAGTGCAAGTTTTCTGCTGTATTAATACAGCAGCACTACAGAGCCCATCAGATGCGAAATATTGAACAACAAAGATACCATCAAATGAAAAGAGCTGCCATTAGAATTCAGGTAATCCCAGAAGGTGTTTTTTGTTGTTTTTTGGGGTTTTGGATCTCTTGTATTTCTTCATGACATGATTATTTTTACAGACATTAGAGAGTGGCATTTGTGGTGTTTCACTTGCTTTAGAAAACATCTTCCAGATGTGAGAAATTACATATTTGTAATACTGTAGAGATATAATCCTAAAAGCTTTTATGCTAACGTGACTTTTTTCCTTTTAATTTTGTTTGTTCCATTAAACAACAAGAAAATAAAGTTTTGAATTTCTTTTTTTTTTTTTTTTTTTCTTCATATATCTCATAGGCATCATACAGAGGATATAAAGCCAGGCAGTGGGTTAACAAAATCAGAGCAGCACAAGTAATTCAAGCCTGGTTTCGAGGCTGCAGAGCACGAAAAGAGTATGCAGCTGTGGTAAAAGCTATACGTGTTATTCAGAGTCACTTCAAAACAAAACAACAGCGGACCTGGTAATACTGAATTTTATATGAATGTCTCTACTTTTCAAAGTTTTTATGATATTATTTAGTACTGCTTTGCACTCTGGCAAATCCCTAGAGATTCTCAGGCTCTGGCCCTGCAGCATGTATGTAACGTGCATGAACATAATCCTTTTGATGCAGGTGGAATTATTCTTTTGCACAAGATTTTTCTTATGTTTAAATATTTTTCTGGATTGGAAGCTACCTCACAAACTTAAATTTGCATATTGGGGATCTGGAAAGAGTAGGCCTTGATCTTTTTTTCACTTATCTTTTTTTTTTACAGGAAGGATGTTCTGGATGTTGTTAAAATTCCAGCATAAAACTAATAGGATGAAAAGCTTTTTCATTATAATGCATAATGGAATAGTTAAACTAGTTTGTGTTTATTTTGCTGTGAGATGGTTTTACAATAAAAGCTCTACTAGATCAGCCTGATAGCTTATTCAGAGCTCTGTCCTCTGCCAGTAGTAGTGGAAGATGCTGTTTAGGGAGAGTACGTTAACCTGACTGCTTTCTAAGGTCCTCCCTCAGCATCCATGCTTGTTAGATTATGGATGCTAGAACGTACATGCTTGCCTATTCCCTTTATTATTCTTTTATGGACTATTGTATGTCAGTTTGTCTCATGCTTTTTAAACTGCCATCTCCCTCCCCAACCTCCTTTGGCAGCAAGTTCTGGAAGTACCTACTGTGGGAATACAGAAAGTATCTTCTGTTTTAAACTAGTCTTTCTGCCAGCATTGCTGGCTATCCCCTTGCTCTAGTGTTCCAAGATTTAGTTGATAACAACTCTGCTTTCACAATATCTACCTTTTAATTTAATTTTGTAAATCTTCACTGTATTCTTACTTTAAAAATGCAAGTGTTTTCAACTTTTGGGAAAAAACAAAAAACAAAGATACATTTTCATGTTAGGTTTTTGAAAATGAAGTTCTGTGCACTTACCATTCAAAGAAGGTGGAGAGCAACCCTTACTGCACGGATGATTCAACATCAGTTTCTGGCAACTAAGAATGCTGCAGTTAAGATTCAGTTGGCATATAGACAGTACAGGGCTAGAAGACTTTTAAGAAAGGTATGTTTTCAATTGCACTCTGCTACGTCATGGTTGTTTCAAACATTTTCAATGTACTTGAGTGATTTTTGTCATCAACATGCAGAAGTATAGAAGAAAAAAAAAAGTGGAGCCAGAACAAAGATTGTTCAATTCAAAACTGTTCAATCTCCAAAATACTAAATTTCCTTTTTGCTTTGAGCAGCAAGGTTGATTCTTGTTTTTGAACAGTTCCAATTGTTGAATTACCCTTGTCTATACTGATAACAAGATAAATAGTAAAATTTTCTGCTGGCTTTATTGCTTACAAAGGATTAAGTTAAATTGCCCATATTTTGACACTGTTTAGGTAAGGGAAAAGACCTTCCAAATTGTGAAAGTGCATTTTTATATAAACCAGTACTGCATGAGTTTGCTTTGTATTTCATATTTTATTTTTGTACTTTTTCTTATGATGGAAAAAAATCTAGAACTAAAATGTGTATTGATCACAATCCTTTAGTACTAAAATAGATTTTCATTGTTGAGTGTGTTTTTAGCTTCTGCGATCTTTGGCTTGCCTATAACTGATACTTCTGCACACAGAGCTTACAATTAAGCTGTTCTCTGCTATATTAATTTAATGCTTACAATCACTTCTCTGTTACTGTTTAGATTAGAGACCTAGTACTGAAGAAAGGTAATTTAGTTCTGAGGTGATGACTTCTGAGGCAATTCTTCAGCATCTGGCTGTATACTGTGGTCTTTGCATAGATGATCCAGCTACCTCCGAGTATGAAAACTAATGATGTTCCTTGTTCTGTCTTGCTTCTACAGATAACAGAACAGAAACAAAAGAAGAGACTACTGTATTTTACAGCAGCTGCATATCATCATATCTCTGCGATTAAGATTCAGAGGGCATATAGGATTCACCTCATCTTAAAACTTGCACAAAACCAGATCTCATGTGTTGTTATAATACAGGTTAGTCTAATTAAGGATTAATTATTTTGTGTAACATAGTCTAATTTCTTTTCTGTCAGCTAAGCTTTAATGCTAGGACACTGTAGTTCCTTCACATGCGAAAATAAAGCCAAATTATGGAGACTATGATTTATTAAATAATGCTGTGTATACCCCACTAAGCACAATAGACTGGATGTCGGCAGTCTCTGGAGGCTTAAGCACTTTAACGGTGAGGATGGATGGGAAAGTTTGTTTCCTTGAGACCTTCAAGCTTGCTAAAGCAATCTGAATGCTGTCTTAGCCTATTTCTTTACGTCCTACTGGAAGTAGGAAAGACCAGACACGACAACCTGTAAGGCTTGTGAAATGAAGAGCATCTCCTTACACGAACAGTCCTCTGGGATACAGTGGTTTGCTTGGTGGATGTTTCTAACCTGCCAGTGGTACCAGAACCTGTCTAAGTTGCAGCTTTTTTGTAATATAACCATGGTTTACTTCTCTAAAAGCAAGATCAAATATCAAGTCTGTATTGCACTGCCTAATAGTAAACACTATCTTCAAGTCTCCAAACTGACCATTAGCTTAGTCCCAAAAATGGAAGGTCAGCATTAGATAAATGAAGAGGTTGAAATGGGAACCCTGAAATAGCTGTTTTCTAGTCAAGGATGTTATGGCAAACTTTGCTCCTCCATATGTACAGATCTGTTATCTCTCCCCCTAAGTTATATTTTCTCCTTAAGGCAAGAGAAAATGGGTGAAAGAGGCTTTTTTTACTCAGATTTGGCATACAGTACCCTGTCTCCTTTCTCTGTATGTAGAGGAGAAGAAACAGAGCTGGGAAACGAGAAAAGTGGAGTAGTGGTGGTTCTTCTTACAAGCCAGCCAAGAAAAAGAAAACTCCTAGGACAGAATAAGGCCAGGCACAAGTATAAATTGAGGGAGGAGTGGCTGGAGAGCAGCCCTGCGAAAAGGGATCTGGTGATGCATTTCAGCTACCCCAAGGCAAATTGGAGCTGTATCATGGTGGTTATAGGAATCCTGGTGATGTTTATAGTGCCTGTATCTGTCAAAGCTCATGTTAAAATAGTTCTTTAGTTTTTACCAAATCTTGCTTAGGATGGGAAAAGTCTTAAATAAATAGAGTGGTACCCTAATTTTAAACAGAAATGGTTCCGCGCAAAAATGCAACAAAAGAGATTTCTAAGAGATTATCAAAGAATCATTCAATTACAACGTGTAATTCGAGGCTGGCTAAAGCACAGAAATGATGCAGCAGTCATCATCCAGCGAAATGTACGAAGGTTTCTTGTGTGCAGACGGCGGAGAAAATTTGCAGTTGGAATAATTAAATTTCAGGTAAATACCTCTTGTAAGAAAACTACAGTTTTTAATTTTTTTTATTACTCTCTCATGGGTTTGGGGGGGAGAGGAAATATATTTACTTTGGTGAATTTATCAATTAAAGCCAAGTGAGCTTCAGTTTAGACGTCAAAGCTAAATGCAAACAGATTATGAAGTCATATTAAGCAGATACTGGTTGAGGTGACTTATGTGGGGGTGTGCGTGGAGTGTATATATGTGTTTGTTTTGATCTTTTGTCTTGAAAATCAGTATTTGGAAGATTAAACACTGCATAATATTATTTAATTACATTGGTTATTAATTTTTAAATAAGTTGTCAGACTTGTGTAAAATTGATTTGGAATGGTAATGGAAGTTCTAATTGTCTCTTGTTCACAGCTTTTTTTTCTCTTTGTGAAATTCCTTTTCTGTAGGCATTGTGGAGAGGATATTCTTGGAGAAAGAGTAATGACACAGCGAAAACTAAAGCTTTAAGACACGGTTTAGAAAAGGCTAATGAAAAGAGCAGAGAAGAAAACAAATTGTGCAACAGAACTGCAATTGCTATTGAATACCTTCTAAAATACAAACATCTCTCTTATATTCTTGCAGCATTAAAGCATCTTGGTCAGTATTTTATTTTGTTATAACTGATATATTTCCAGGATGATAGAAAGTGGAATTTTTCAGCTGAGGAGAGGTCATAATGATATTTAGGCTTTCTGTATGATTGTGAAAGGTCAGTGTGTTAGAGAGTACAATGAGGGTTTTTTTCCAGACTAAAATTAGATTATTGGTTTAAGAACAATATTAAAATGGTTATGTAGGG